ATTGATTGCTGCTGATGCAGCGGTATGACACATGTACACTAATATAAGAGGAGCCCTTACCAGACGCAGCTGCTGCATCTGTCATCTGTCTGTGCATCGTCTTGTATTTTGAATTTTGGGAGTAAGTTAATATTGAGCTCAATGTCAGATCACCATAATTACAGTGATCAAACTTTGGGCAAAGGAGGCAAAACGAAAATAGGTGCAGCAAAGCAAAGCAAAGCACGCCTCATTGACTATCGTATTTTAAATCTCTGTATTTTTCTTGTTATTGGTTAAAATAAGTTTTTGGTCCTTGAACCATTTTAACGGGCTGCCTCTTTTGTCTCGCCTCTGTGTCCTGCAGCAGTTCTGTGGTGTTCTGGGTCACACATTTATGGAGTTTCTGAAGGGCAGTGGGGACTACTGCCAGGCTCAGCACGCTGCCTATGCAGACGAGTGAACAGCCAAACTCGCCATCGATCTGAAGCACTTGAGCCACAGGAGGAACCCCATAACGTTGGCAGGACCGGGACGCCTCCCAGAACCAGCGACAACTCGGCCTGGATGGGGTAACTCCACCCGCTGCACACTGCCCTTGTCGGCTTCCGCCTGGCCAGAATCAAGGTGGAACCAGCCTTGTTTTTATTTTCTCCCTTTTCTTTTGTTTTATTCCAAAAGAAAGGGGGTTTGATTTACTTTTCCTCTTCAAGTCCCCAGTTTTCCTCACTTGCCTGTTGCAGTCCTCCTCTTTTTTCTTAAGTTTCTTGTTAAAGCCTTGCCAACTTTGAAGAAGTTCTCCGAAGTTTTTCTTTTTTTTTTTTGGATCCTGTGTTGCTGAAATCTCGTTGGAAGTTTTTTTTTGTGTGTGTTTGACATTCCCTCCGAGTTTAACTGTTTACATTGGTGTTTTCACTCTGTGGAAGACTTTTGGGTTATACGACAAGATTTGTTTTTTTTTACTGTTGTCACGATGGCTCGAATGAACCGACCTGCCCCTGTGGAGATCACCTACAAAAACATGAGGTTCCTCATTACCCACAATCCCACCAATGCCACCCTGAACAAGTTCATTGAGGTGAGCACTAAAAGCCTGTGTTGACATTTTTATTAACTCTGTCTTGTGATGCAAAACAAAACTACTTTTTAATTAATTGAGGAATTATAAAGGAAATTATTTTTTTTAAATTACTGAGTTAATTGATGATAGAACGTTGTGAGGGATTTAATAAATGTCTGTCTGTAACTTTCTCACACAGTTTTCACTGTCATTTGCAGGAGCTGAAGAAGTATGGAGTTACCACCGTCGTAAGAGTTTGCGAGGCCACCTATGATGCTACCCTGGTGGTGAAAGAGGGAATCCAAGTTCTGGTAAGTTCAAAGTTGACTTGTTTTCTTTGGACTTGATGACAGGTTGTGTTGATAAAATGTGTGCCTTTTCACCACCAATTTCTGCACATGTTGGTTTATTCAGGGATAGATTTAAAAAATACCTGTTCATAAAATAATTAAAAATGAATGCTTATTTCAAGTCTGTTTACCTCATGACTTGATTGACCTAAATATACCCGTGTACCATCCAATGATCCGTGCAGACTGTGCTTTTGTCTGTCCAAAAAATGTAATGACTGCACGGCGGACGTGCTGACCAGGCCAGTGGAATGGGATGTGGGATCATGTGTGGTTCACAAGACAGACATAAAATCCTCCCTTAGAATGAAAGGAATTTTGTGCTTGAGAACATCTCTGTGGACATGGAAAGAAGGAGACCTTTAAATATGTGACTGTGCTTTTTTTGTTGACATTTGGACTTTTATTGTTTGGTTGTTGAAATGTCATAATCCATTTTTTGTTAACATTTGGACTTTTAATGTTAGATTGTTTGGTTGTTGAAATGTCATAATCAGTCAGTCTGATTTGGCTTTTCTCCACTTAAATAATTATACGTGTGTAAAATGGAGAAAAACTGTTTATTATTTCTCCCTCCCCTAAACAGGTTGATTTCACAGTTACTGCTCAGAAATAATTCGACTAAGAAAATCACATCATAACCAAAGCCTGTAGCCTTGTACAAACTGATTCTTTTTTTGTTTTCATTGAGCTTGTAAAAGAGAAAAGCCTTCAAACTTCCAAATGTCAAGTGAAGTCGAACAGAAAGAAAACCTTGATTCCTCCCTCCCTCCCTCCTTCCCTCCCTCCCTCGGTCGGTCTCACCCCACAACATTTTTCTGTCGGTGCAGCACTCACACTTCTTTTGTTTTGGTTTCCAAGAAACTGGGCCGATGACGTTAGTTCCCTCTTTGCCTCCTCTCCCTGTCCAGGATTGGCCGTTCGATGATGGAGCTCCTCCCTCCAACCAGATCGTGGATGATTGGCTGAACCTGCTGAAGCTGAAGTTCAGGGAGGAGCCCGGCTGCTGCATTGCTGTCCACTGTGTGGCAGGACTGGGGAGGTGAGTGTGGGCTCTGTGATGAAACATCTCAGCTTCATTATAGCAGTTTTTTTTATTCTAATGTCTTTTAATTAATATGTACAAATCATTTAAGCCTTATGAACAGAGACCATTTCTGCTGCGACCATCTGTATTTACAAAGACACCATTGAAAATTAAAATCCTTTATTTAATCTTTTCTTGTTTAGTCAGAGCTGGGATTGACTGAACTGTTTGTCATCCCAAATGAAATGATCAGCCTCGGCAGAATTAAATGCAGAGGCTTTTTTTTTTTTTCTTTTTTTTTTAAATGGTTGTCCCTCTTTTTTCTCCTGCAGAGCTCCTGTTCTGGTCGCACTGGCCTTGATCGAATGTGGAATGAAATATGAAGATGCTGTTCAGTTCATTCGACAGTAAGTTTGTGTCACAATCAGAAAAACATTGTGTTTGAAAAATCATCTGTCGTTTTTTTATTTAGCAGAGAACAACCATGAAAAAAGTAGAATAAATAATTATAAGGTTATATCATACTTATTTTATCTTAAGTACAATAAGTACATACTTATTTTATCTTAAGTACAAGGTTAATGCAGAAGAAAAAAGTGTATTAAATATTAATTATAAGATTATACCATACCCATAAATTCATTTGAATGTTTTCACACATGCTTTATTTTATCTTAAGTACAAGGTTAATGCAACAGCAATAAAAATGTTTTTGGTTAATCTTGTTTAATGGAGCACTGTTCCAACACAAATTGAAACTATGTACAAAGTAAAAACATGTTTTTGTTTTTTTCTAAATGCCCTAATCTGTTTGAGTCACAGCCTGGTATGAAGGCCCTGTGCCAAAACAAAAAGTTCCTGTTTGATGCGCGTGTGTTTGTGTTTGACACACACAGAGAGATGGTTTTGTTCCAGATGAAGCAGAGAAGGATGAGTCACGGCTGTAAATAGCTCATACAGTGACTCAGGTGGAGGAAGTGCTTTTTTAACAGCTCCACCAGTCATCCCAGTGATGACAAGAGTGTTTGACAATTCTAGTATCTGACAGTGATCTCACCTCAGTGTATATGATGGGGGAAAGTCAACTGTCATGAAGTCCAACACACAAAGACGATGAATGATGTTTTTAATTGAAAGAGCGGCTTCTGGAACAGGCGGACGAGTTCGACCTCTTTTACAGAGCTGCTCTGAACAAATGATGCTTGTAAAGCGCAGTAATCACTGATTGTTGTCAATGTTTTAGTTTAGATTTGTCGTATTTAGACTCTTCTGGTCTGGTCTGTTTTTTTCAGGAAGCGTCGGGGAGCGTTCAACAGCAAACAGCTGTTCTACCTGGAGAAATATCGTCCAAAGATGCGTCTGCGTTTCAAAGATTCCAACGGCCATCGCAATAACTGCTGCATCCAGTAGAGCCAAACGCTGAGCCACCACGCCAACACCACACACACTACAGAAGAGCTCAAATTTAACCTTGCTAGCTTATCACACCAGGCAGGCTTGTTTTCTTAGTTATTGTGTTGAAGTACTTTTATTTGGTAAACCGATTGTCCAATAATCCAAGTGTCAAAATTTGAAAAAAAAGGAAAACAAGTTGCGTGAACCAAGTTCACAATGTTTTCTTTGTTTGTGCCCATTAAAAAAACCCAACAAATTCATAAGGTCAGTGCTGAGTTGTGTTATATCGTACGATGTTGGATTGTTATCTCTACAAATCCCAAAGACCCCGACTGACCAGTGCTTTTACGTCACCTGACAATAACTTTAGCTTTTTCTCCCACACTCATTTATTTTTACAGTTCCATTTTAAAGACTAGAAAGCGGTGTATGCCTTCCTTGAAAATCAGAGGGTCATCCATAAATGCCTTACAATCAATGTGGAACAAAGGCAATCGAGGCAAAAAAGCGCCTCCTGCTGGCATATAGGATAAGATTTCTTTTTTCTACTCTGAACAAAAATAAAAAGAAATAGTTGCCTTTGTCTCGTGCAGGAAGTCTGACACACACTTATGCCCTTTCAGCAACTATTTTTAATATAAAAATGCTTCATTGTTGCAATCTTTGTCAACTAAAAGTCTCGGAACTCGTACTTGTTTATTTCCTCTATCAAACCTTCCGTTTACTAATTAACTGCCATGTTCAAAATGTGATTTTCTTGTTTGTTTTTTTTCCCGCTTCAAACTGGACTTCCAATGTCTGCGATATTTTGTATGCCTTTTTATTTGATGTCTGTAACTTAAGACTTGGATACTTGATGATTTTATGTATTTGAATAAGGTGTACTATTATTGTTAGGTTGGCTATTTATACTATCACTGGATGTGTGGTTTAGTAACGTGAGCGACAAAGTTGTACCTGTTCACCAACTTGTGAGAGTACATTAAATGATACACTGAGAAACATCATACATTTAGCGTGTTGTCAAAGTTATTGTTGCGCGGCCTTTTAGCGTGTTGTCAAAGTTATTGTTGCTTTGCTGCAACACCGTGGGTACAAAGGAAGATTCTGTCAACTTTAGTCACTATGAACTAATCTTTAAAATTGGGGGGAAAAAATAGGCAGGCGGTCATTTCAGTTTAATTCGGTCAGAGTTAAGGTTAATGGAGGTTTAAAAAAGCATTGTAGCAGATTAATAATAACTGAACTAATCTCATAATGCGCCAGAGGACATTTCAGCTAAATGTCTTAAAAGGCTGCCCACAAATGTCAGCTTTAATTGCAGTTGTTCAGTTGAAATATAAGTACATCCTTCCGACGGGATTTAACATTACGTGTGGCTAAATATCAGGATAATGGGCAAAAACTATTGGAAACAGGAAACGGAATAAACGTCTTTGGAAGTAAAGCGGAAGCAGGCTAATAAAGTTAGCTAACCGTGATGAATCTGTTCGGTTTTATTATTTTTTTTACCTCAGACCAAGACCAGAAATAAATTAATTTATACTATAGTGTGCAGAATAATCTGGATTTAAGACGGGTGTTTGTAAAATCACATTAGCATATTTAAGAAAATACGTTTGTACGGTAAAGGAAGACGTTAGGAGTAATTGGTTTTTTTTAGCCAAGAGAGGGCAGCAAAGTTTAACTATGAGCGAACATAAGTTACTTAGTATTTATTATACTCTTTTTAAATAAGTTTTAATAATAGTATTTTACATTAAATACAATAGTAAATATTCAGCTAAAGTATAATGATACCGTCACATGCTCTACACTGACAATTCTACCAACATTATTCTTAAAGTTGATTTTGGTTAATGTCCAGGTGTTAGGCAGAGGGGCAGTCAGCTAATTTAGACTCAGCTGAGACAGGCTACTTCACCACAGAGACAAAGGCAAGTTACAGCGTGACTAATGAGGCTACAGGGAGAAAAAAAATACACTTGATTCACTTGTGTTTTACCTGGTTGGTGGGGAGGGTAGCCACCTTTCAGAAAGGAAAATAATTGGCTCCTGCTAAAAGAACCAGATTTAAATCCAACTGAAAAAGGGGAGCTTTTTTTTCTTAAAGTTTCCTTAATGTGTGTGAGGAACTCAACCTGAAGAAAGTCTTGTTGGAGAAACACTTTTATTTTGAGTTAAACATTTATAGAAAACTTTGTAATGGGAACATGTTTCAAAACATAAAAAGTGTAAATATAGGCCTATGCAAAAAAAAAAAATAAACCAAACAAAGCAGGACTACTGTGGAGCTCCACCCCCAAAACTAAAACAAACAAGGCAACCATCAATTACATCAGCATGGGTTCTCATGGAAAGTCCTTGAGTTGGCCTAAGGAACACTAACGAAATAACTACAAGCGCTTGATAATAAACCAAGTCATCATTCATTCTGATGATGGTAGCATTTTTAGAGGATAATGTTGTACCATGGATGAACCAGATCACAAAAACAGATGGATCCAGGTCTGATTTTGGAAAAGGCATCCATGGTACAGCACTCAGTAAGAGTTCGTGACTGGATTTTTAAGCACCAAGAAGAAGAAGAAGAAGAAGAAGAAGAAAAAGGGTTAGGACAGGAGTGTAGTGGTTAGTAGTATGACAGAAATCCAGCTCATTAAACTCTGACTGATTGTAAACTAAAGCAATAAAATCTAAAATCAAGGCTGTAGCTCATGTCCTCAGTGACCAAAGACCAAATCTTAGACTATCCATGAAATACCATGCTGATCTGTAAATGGTCAACCTTACTAAAAAAATACAAATAAATAAATAACAAATACAAAGCAAACAAAAAAATAATAAAATAAAAACAGACAGCCGAGCGGACTCCTGTCTCCTTCTCAGCAGTGGTGGGCCTGGGCAGTCGGGGGCTAGGACCTAAAGATTAATGAGTCCAGTAAGTGTTCTACATAACAACATGATCACAACAGTGATTATAATTTAGTACAAACCTCAACAGTAGAAAGAAGTCAGGTCTGGATCATCTTGGCTGCAGGCAGTCTTGATCCGACCAGGTGCAGGATCTTCCAAAGTCTATTAGAGCCAAGATTTGACTAAGAAAAATATAGACTTGACCAGGATGAAGGATCTTCGAAAGTCTACTGGAGTCAAGATTTGACTAAGAAAAATATAGACTCATAAACATAAATATACCAGAGAAGAACAAACCTGACATTTTAAAGGGCGTTCTTCACAGGGAGTCTTCAGCCTTTCATGGTGGTGGCCTCCAGATCCCCTCCAACATCTGCCAACAGAAGACATGGGGTGTAAGCATGTTAAGGGGGGTGAGGATGGGCAAGAGTGACATGAGATAGAACCATAACTGAGAACTTGCTTACATTTAGTCCTCTTCAGCTCACTGTGGTCCATCCCAGGTCAGGTAAGAACTTTGGTCTGGGGTGTGAATGGACAGTCCTTGCGCTCACCTCAGGTCCCTTTAACCAGGATCCATCTTCTCCATACTTGGTCAACCGGTCCAAAAGAATCCTAAACACACAGATAAGAACCGGTCATCAGTCAGTCAACAGGTGAAAGTGAACAGATTCAGTATTGGTCAATGTGGGAAAAAAAAAACAAACCTGAAGACATCCTGTGGACGAGAAGATCTTCCTACTCAATTTCCTCAGGTAGTACAAGAAAGAACAGACGCTCCTTACTGTGTTGAAGAGCTTTATGATGACCAATCTGGAAAATAAATCCAGGAAAGACGAGTCATGTGACGTACTTCAGTTTCTGTGTGGACACAGCCTCTGTCAAACAATTACTTTCTTAAGTGCAAAACCTGAGTTTGACTCTTACCTTATCTTTCAGTTTTAGACAAGGCACACGACCACAAACGGTGATTATAATTTAGTACAAACCTCAACAGTAGATAGAAGTCAGGTCTGGATCATCTTGGCTGCAGGCAGTCTTGATCTGACCAGGATGAAGGATCTTCGAAAGTCTACTGGAGTCAAAATTTGAGTAAGAAAAATATAGACTCATAAACATAAATATACCAGAGAAGAACAAACCTGACATTTTAAAGGGCGTTCTTCACAGGGAGTCTTCAGCCTTTCATGGTGGTGGCCTCCAGATCCACTCCAACATCTGCCAACAGAGGACATGGGGTGTAAGCATCTTAAGGGGGATGAGGATGGGCAAGAGTGACATGAGATAGAACCATAACTGAGAACTTGCTTACATTTAGTCCTCTTCAGCTCACTGTGGTCCGCCCCAGGTCAGGTAAGAACTTTGGTCTGGGGTGTGAATGGACAGTCCTTGCGCTCACCTCAGGTCCCTTTAACCAGGATCCATCTTCTCCATACTTGGTCAACCGGTCCAAAAGAATCCTAAACACACAGATAAGAACAGGTCATCAGACAGTCAGCAGGTGAAAGTGAACAGATTTAGGATTGGTCAATGTGGGAAAAAAAACAAACCTGAAGACATCCTGTGGACGAGAAGATCTTCCTACTCAATTTCCTCAGCTTGTACAGATCCAGCACCAACCGACCCGGGGCAGGAAATACACTGGAGTCTTACCTGTGTAATTGACTGATCTTACCACAGTCAGTCAATCATAGGGACAGCATGGGTGAAGCCTACACCACCAGAGTGAACCCAGATTAACCACCAGTAAATTAACAGATATCATGCCAATCACTAAGCCCTAATCTCATCTAAAGGCAACATGCAGATAAAGGTGATCACCCTGAGGGTCACTGACATTACACACATACTCATACACACTCATACGCACTCATAGCACAGACAGTCATTGCATCAATATACATTGACAAAACACAAATATATCCATTTACAAATATTTACATGTATACATTTACAAAATTACAAAGGCAAGCAATTAAGTCAAGCAATTTTACTTACATGTATACATTTACAAAATTACAAAGGCAAGCACATTCACAAGACTTTGACTCCTGGACATCCATGTTGTTCAATGACGTGGAGTTCTGGTAGTCACTGGACGTCAACGGGACGATGGCAGGAACTGAAACGTCCAAAATTGTGGAAAAGGATGAGGACATCCAAATTGTGGCGAAGAACCGCAAACGGGACATCCAACTTCTGGAAATGATCGCAACGTCGAAAATACGAGAGGATCGCAAATGGGACATCGAAGATTTGGAAAATGACCACAGCGTACTAAATTGTGGAGACGGACCGCAAACAGGACATCCAAGTCCTGGAAAACGACCGCGACGGGACATCAAAATTGTACGACAATTCAATTATATAAACTGCCAGTGAACTGTAGTTTTAAAAAGTAAATATGTTTCTGAGAGTATAGAGCACTGCAGAAGCACACAGCCAGGTATGGGTCAGAGGTGGGCAAATGGGGGAGATAGGGGCAGGGGCAACAGCAGCCGGATGGGGAAGGGGCAACGGCACAGCGGCCACGGGGAGGGGGCGGGATCAATGGTGGCGGGGTGACAGGCCAGATGGGGTGGGAGGGGGACGAGGGGCAGTGGTGGCATGGCAGCCAGTTGGATGGGGTGGGTCGAAGGTGGAGGGGGGGGGGGCAATGGTGGCCAAAAGTGGAGATGGGGCAGGGGCAACGGCACTGCGGGGAAGGGGCGGGATCAGTGGTGGCAGGGTGACCGGCCAGATGGGGTGGGAGGGGGACGAGGGGCAGTGGTGGCATGGCAGCCAGTTGGATGGGGTGGGGCAACAGTGGCCAGAAGGGGAGAAAGGCCGCGGGGAGGGGGCGGGATGAGGGGCAGTGGTGGCATGGCAGCCAGTTGGATGGGGTGGGTCGAAGGTGGAGGGGGGGGGGGCAATGGTGGCCAAAAGTGGAGATGGGGCAGGGGCAACGGCACTGCGGGGAAGGGGCGGGATCAGTGGTGGCAGGGTGACCGGCCAGATGGGGTGGGAGGGGGACGAGGAGCAGTGGTGGCATGGCAGCCAGTTGGATGGGGTGGGGCAACAGTGGCCAGAAGGGGAGAAAGGCCGCGGGGAGGGGGCGGGATGAGGGGCAGTGGTGGCATGGCAGCCAGTTGGATGGGGTGGGTCGAAGGTGGAGGGGGGGGGGGCAATGGTGGCCAAAAGGGGAGATGGGGCAGGGGCAACGGCACTGCGGGGAAGGGGCGGGATCAGTGGTGGCAGGGTGACCGGCCAGATGGGGTGGGAGGGGGACGAGGGGCAGTGGTGGCATGGCAGCCAGTTGGATGGGGTGGGTCGAAGGTGGAGGGGGGGGGGGCAATGGTGGCCAAAAGTGGAGATGGGGCAGGGGCAACGGCACTGCGGGGAAGGGGCGGGATCAGTGGTGGCAGGGTGACCGGCCAGATGGGGTGGGAGGGGGACGAGGGGCAGTGGTGGCATGGCAGCCAGTTGGATGGGGTGGGGCAACAGTGGCCAGAAGGGGAGAAAGGCCGCGGGGAGGGGGCGGGATCAATGGTGGCGGGGTGACAGGCCAGATGGGGTGGGAGGGGGACGAGGAGCAGTGGTGGCATGGCAGCCAGTTGGATGGGGTGGGTCGAAGGTGGAGGGGGGGGGGGCAATGGTGGCCAAAAGTGGAGATGGGGCAGGGGCAACGGCACTGCGGGGAAGGGGCGGGATCAGTGGTGGCAGGGTGACCGGCCAGATGGGGTGGGAGGGGGACGAGGGGCAGTGGTGGCATGGCAGCCAGTTGGATGGGGTGGGTCGAAGGTGGAGGGGGGGGGGGCAATGGTGGCCAAAAGGGGAGGAAGGGGCAGGGGCAATGGCAGTTGGAGGGGGAAGGGGCAACGGCACAGCGGCCACGGGGAGGGGGCGGGATCAATGGTGGCGGGGTGACCGGCCAGATGGGGTGGGAGGGGGACGAGGGGCAGTGGTGGCATGGCAGCCAGTTGGATGGGGTGGGGCAACAGTGGCCAGAAGGGGAGAAAGGGGCAGGGGGCAACAGCAGCCAAATGGAGAAGGGGCAACGGCACAGCGGCCGCAGGGAGGGGGGGGGAGC